TGTACCTTATACCCTTAAAATTTCTTCATACTCTAAGTGCTTATTAAAATTCTTATGATTTATTTGAAATGTCAAGAAATAAGTCTCAGTTTTAATGACAAATTTCAAGTGCCTCATTGGCCACTTCACTATGTCATCTACTTATTAATCAGTTAATTTCATCAAATTCATTCTGGCTTACGAGTTGGAAAAACATCCTTATGAATTATAATAATTGATCTGGTTGATAAATTTCTCAAATTTATTGCCATTTTAAAAATCTGTTTATCTCCTCAATGTTTTAAATGAAGTTAAAATACCAGAGATGCTGTTTAGCAAATTATCTAATATATTGTCAAGTTGCTTAAGCAGGGTCATCTCTAAAAGCAATAACAACAAAAGCCTATTCACAACTCATTCTAGCAATATAGTACAGAGAGGTTTTTTTGTTTTGTTTTGTTTTGTTTTTGAGCCCATATTTTACAAAATTAAGAACAAATGATTTATTAGACTTATGTGGTTTCACTACATATATTTCTAAAAGGAGGACATCGAAGGTTCTTTCTTGAAATGCTTTATGATGGTACCTGCAGGTCTTTAGTTTGGTCCTGACTTTCTAATACACAAGATTTTGTTTTATTCCCCTTTCAACATTCTTAAGTTCATAGATGAATTTGACACAGGTTGCACTCTAATGATTGACTTTAATAAGATAATTTTTTCTATCCTAATAATAAAATATCTTATCAATGTTCAAGCTGTGTTTTTGTGATAACTTGTCTATCATTGAACTATCTATATTGGTAATACCAGACACTCTCAAAACCCCTTAATGCCCACCTCTCCTTATCCTCAACGAAATAGTTGTAAGAAAAGACTAGCATTTACTTGACTGGCAAACATTTTTATGTAAGGACAGGGAGAGATGCTTGGTCAATTTCCTTCTAATACAACCCGCTGGGATTGGGTTACATGATCCTGGCTGTATGTCACTGAGAATGAAAGCCTTTAGTTATCATTTGACTAATGTGCTCAGCATGGCAAGAAAATGATCTCCACCATTTTTCAAATGTCCTGAATTAGCAATTACCTTTTAATCACTTTAGTTAAAGATAAATCCATTTTCTTAACAAGAAAAACAAACATGCATATGCCACAAATAGGTAAAAAATGATATTGAAGCAGCAGAAATTAAAAACAAAAGTACAATATAAAAAAACATAAAAATAGTATAGTACAATAATTCTGAATAACTTTATAGAAAATCATTCCTTTGTATTTACTAACTATGCAATCTTGGATGGGTGGTGAAGACATGGAAGGTGTACAAGTTGGACCTTTCCTATTATTCCTTTTGATGTCTAGGGGTAAGAACTGATTAGTATATACTGAGAAAGAAAGAAACTAATGAAATTGTATCATGAGTGTATTTATAGAAGTGAAATTCTACTGAGGTCTTCATAGATCCAACCTCAAGCATGATTAGAAACAAAACATTGTCATTATGCATTTTACACTTATCTTTATGGCTTAGTGGCAAATTTGAAAAGGAGGCTAAGAAAACCCAGAGAATTTATGGCTTTAATAATTGACAGAGAAGAAAGACTGGGAATTTGAAAACATTTTTCTGCTTGTTGGCTCTGGTTTTGTGAAGCAGAAACAAAAGCGCAAAGTCAAGACCTTGGCTGCCCCTTAGTTTCCTAGCACCAGTGACTGGCTCTGCCCGCCCTACATATCACTCTGCATTTATTTATTTATTTACTCTCCAATTGCCTACACTGGCTCTCAGTAAGACTGAAGCAATGGGTAGAGTATTCCTCCTGCTACCCATTCACCTTGCTTTGTAGGTTTTCCCACCATCCCTCATACATCTTGCCTCCAGTGTAGTATTCTCCCTAAGACCTCCCTGCTGTGTTTTGCTCATAGCAAGCTTTCAGTTAATCCCTATTGAGGTGTTAAGAGATAACCAGTGTTAGAGGAAGGAATCCTCCTAAGACAGTTTAAGAGTTAAATGAGGCTCTTTGAAGACCCAAATGTTCAGTTACACAGAGAAAGCAACAGGAAAGACCTCTCAGTCATTAACAGCAAAACAACCAGTGGACTTTCACTCTTGCAGCCAACACCCCTAGGGAATTAGAGACACCGGAAGTGACTTTGGAAGAAGAGGCTCAAGGAACTCCGGGAGTAGTGATGGACTTCAGAGCGGGACAAATGAGACTAGGTAAGGACTCCCACTCCCAGCTTTAGAATTTGAAACTTGCAGTTTCCTGTAGATGCTACTGTTCTGTCAGATCTGGAATTACTCTGCCAGAGTCCTTTATTTCAAGAAATACAGTTATTGCTTGTTCACGAAGGTTTATACTTCGGAGAAGTCTGAAACTGCATGTCAGGATCAGCTACTTAGAATGAATATATATA